ACAAAGTTTTTTTACACTACTCTTAATTTCTTTCAGTGCGGTTAGTTATATTGTTGTTTAGTGGCTAATAGTTGTTGGATTTCAAATAATTAGAGCATAAAAATATGTTTTTATTGCTTTTTATATTATTATGCAACTTTAATGAAAGTATATTATAGCAAAATAATTTTCACTTTAATTTTGTAAAATAAAATGCATAAAATAAAATAAAAAAAAAAACTTCTTTCTCTGTTTATATTATGAATAAATAAATTTAATAGTTCTACGTATGAAACGAGTAAATGAAAATAAATATCAAGGTTTTTTTAATTTTATTTATATGTACAATTCTTCCTACCTTAACCTTTCGAAACAATTCTATAAAAACAACAAACAATAATTAACATCTTAAGGATTAAATAAATTTTATTGCTTTATTTCTAATTATTAGCAATCTTCAGTTTAATTTATTTTTAATTGCCAACACAAGCAGTTTAAACCGAAACTAAAAATGGAATCAAGCCAACAACCAACCCATAAGAATTAATTTAAATTATTATTTGTATTTTTTGTTTGGTAGCTGCTTTCATTTTTTGTTGTTAACAAATATAAAATTTATTTTAAATTGCTGTTTGTCGCAGTGGTAGTATAAAAATGTTCATTTAATTAAAAGCTATAAGCAACAATGATTGGTTTCAATCGCCTTTCTCTTTCTCATCGCCCGTCATCAGCATGAGCTAGTTATGGTCGTGGCAATGCTTTTGACCAGCACACTGCAAGTTCTCATACAATAAACTGTATATTTGTGTATTTTATATGTATGTATGAATCCAATAATATGTTGTTAAATAAAAGTTTGTTGAAAATTTATATTGTCGCTTGAATAATTTTGCCAATTTGGATTTTTAATAGTCCACGTAGTTTGATTGGTTGGTTTTAACAGTCATCACAGTGTGTATGTGTTTACAGTTTACACAAACATACAGTTAAATAACCTGCAATGCGGGGACTAGTACACATGAATCAAGACCCACTGCTTATTAACCAATATTTTAAAAATTCTCTTGTGAATTATAGAGAAGATCATTCGCGAGTAAAATCACAAAAAGAGAAATTTTCAATAGTATTTTCATATTTTCAAGAATATTTAAATTTACAACAAAATAATGGATTTCTTAAGTGTCATGAAAACTTGATAAGATTTTGTTTTTAAACTGCAGGGTTCACTTGAATGTGTTGTAGTAGAGTTGTTACTCATTTAGCCACTGGAAAAAGTGGTAAAGTCATAGCTTGAGCATGAAACATAACATGGCTAGTGAGTGGTCCTGGTTCTTGTTGTCGAGGAGTTTATAAAAATATAAATTTAAAATAAATTCAATAAAGAAATTGATAGAACATTTGAAACGAAATATAAAGCTTGCTACAACAATATCATAAATCTAATTAAATTTTATAGTTTTGCTTAAAGTTTACTTTTAATTAAAAGTTGTAAGAAAATGTCTCTGTATAAACTACAAACAAAAATGTTTTTAACCCATTGTGCATTCCCTTCGATTTTAAGAAACTTTACAACGACTGGTCTTTGAACATATTTCACAACCAAATGTTGTACGAACAGTTCCTGATGTAAAGCATACAATTGACCAACTGTTGTTGCATGATTGACTGCTGTTGGCTTAAAAATTTCAGAAAAAAAAACACAAATTTATCCAGTGGATTCGCACTCTCGTATGTTTGATTGAGTATTTAATAGTGTAAAGCGGTGTGGGAGCGTGTGTGTTAGCATAAAGTATCTGAATGTGTAAGTATGTAAATAAGTGTGTGTTGTCATCAATCATCAAAGCATTACAATGAAAAGTGTTAATTGGCAATTATGTATAAATTTATTCAGGCAAAAATATAATCAATCCAATCATCTATATATACAAACACAGGTTCATTTAGCATACACACACACACACATAAACATAAATATTTGAATACAGTTTTATGAATTTTTTTTTTGTAATTTTGTTTAAAAATATGAAATTTACATGGTAACACATGTTACTTATAATTGTTTTGCCATTTTTTCAGTTATATTTTGTTTTACTGCTGTTATAAGCGAGGTAAATCCTCTCTCTTAGTCACTAAAATATTTGGTTTTATTTTAAGCCAATTAAAATTGTACATATGTTTGTAACTACTACCAAAAACAAATTTAAAAAAATCAAATTTACAACAAATTAATTGAAAATCCATTACAACAATTTATGTTTTATGTTCAAACTAATATTAACACAGCATGATGGAACAAACCACAACAATTTACAAAACATCAAAAAAATTTTAAATAAAAAATATTAAATAGAAAAGAACCACGACAAACTGTGGTCCAGACTTGGAGAATTTTTGTTAATTTTAATTAAATAAAATTTGCAAATTTATGCAAATAAAATATTACAAAACAAAATATATTACAATCCAACAAAAAAATACTTCTCCCTACTGTTTTGTAACCATAACAAAATCAATTTAGATCCAATTTTATTTTATTTTTGTTTTTTTTTTCTTATTTTATGAGGAAAGGGAAATTCTTTAAAACAATATGCGCGTGTTTTTAATATTGTATATGTATGTAGCTTTTAGTTCCCATGTCACACTTTTTAATTGAAACCAAAATGTAGGAAATTGGAAAATGTTTTTCTCATGTATATTTATCATTTATTTATCCAACAAAGAGGAAAATCATTTCACAAGTAATTCATTTTTGATGGTATTATTTTGATTTCTTTCTACGCTTACATTTTTAAAGACTTTCTCCTCCAGAGACAGTCATCATTATAAATATTTATGCAAACATATGTGTATACAAACACAGACATATACATACATATGTATGTACTTATACAAAAACTTCAAAATTTTTACAGTACAGTAGAATAACTAAAATTTCGCCACAAATTGTTTACAATACGAGTCAGAGTATTATTTAGCTTGATATTATTCTTTAAGTTTATCCCTCGTTATTTTATTGTTTCAATTTTGATACTTCCTTGCATGTTAACATTTGACTTGCCCCTAAAAAATAAAATTATTTTTCAAATATTATAATATTTAAAAACAAGATTTTATTGCCCTAAATTTTTCTTAAATTTTTTTAACCGTTATTTCTATATAATTAAGACCATAGTGAGACTCTTTCAAGAAAAATAAATTTTTATTGGGGCAGGCCTAATGTACATATTGGCTTTGTTTTTTGTATGTGACTTATTTGACTGTCTGGTTGGCAATTTCCATAAAAACAATACGAAAACTCTGCGACGCGTTAAATAACAAAAATATTACGCATCAGAGAGAAGGAAAATATTGTCTTGTTTGTTTTTATGCAAATATTTTCCATATAGAATTAAACACATACCTATATACATACTTACACATACTGTAACATATGTAACATAGACAATAACATTAACCCATTTTAGCAGAAATTACAAGACCCGAAAGGTCCCTTATAACGTTTCGTCTTTTAATAATTTATAAAAATTTAGCTTAGCTGTCCGTCCATCTACACAGAAAAAAGTTTCAGCATAAATATTATGAACTGCTTTCATTGACTAAAGTTAATAATATTTATGAATAAGTTCCTAAATTGTATGAATTTTTTCATTTTTATATTTTTAAACATAATCTAGAAGCCTTGACTTAAAATATTAAAAATTTTCTTTATATTTTTCTGTTTGTTAAAAAATGTTTGAAATTTTCTTTAGAAAATTTTTTATTTCTTTATGATTTTTAGATTGAAAACAATGAAATATGCGCGTAACATGCAGCATTTTCTGAAGAATGGATGTTTAGCTATATGCTGGTTTTTTTATTTCATATTTTGTTTTCCAGCATTTTTATTTATTTATCATAAAAATACGCTAATATGTGATTATTTTCTAAAAAATGGAAGATATTAATAGGTAACGGTTATTTATTTCTTGCATTTTTGATAAAAATCAAAGAAAATGAACAAAAAAACAAAAAAATCTTTCATGTACAAATTCATACATTTTATGAACTTTTAATATTCTGAATGAAAATGGTTTGGGAAAAAAAGTCATGTTCGATTCATTCAATTTATTTCAAAATTCATTCCAAATATGAATTATTTTTTTCTGTGTATGTATTCGTCTGTTGGAAAGACGGAAAGAACTAGAAGTCTGAAATTTTTAAAAATACTCTATTGATGCAAAGTGTTTGGTATGGCGAACATCGGGGCATATCCATATTGTTTATAAATTAGCAAAAAATTATGGAGCTAAGGCCTTTAAATCAAATCAAAAAGTAAAATCTGTCTTAAGTTTAAAAACTACGACCTAATCTTTTAATAATATGGGAGATTATATAAAATTTTCTATATTCCGCTCAAAAAAGTGGTTAAATTACATACAGTCAATCGAGTTCACGTGTTTGTATGCAAATTTAATACACATACACACAACCGCATTCAGTAGTATATTTGTTTTTATAAATTGTTAACAAATTTTTTAATGGATTTTTTAAGTCAATTCACATTGATTGCAATATAAAACAAATTCTAAAAATTACAAATTATTGACATCTGTGCAAAAATTAAAATTCCCCCCGCCTCCAAAAAAAAAACTCTCAAAAGTGAATATAAATATTTTAATACAAACAAAAAGCCACAAAGCTTTAAAATGTTCTTATTTGGTTTTACCGCATGCAATAATTCAAATTTAAATTTTCACACATTCATGAAATGCCTCCCCGTGTTGCCATACTTCTATTAAGAATTTTGACAAATTGTTGTTACATACACAAATAAGTATTAGATTTTATTATAAAATCTGGTTTTGGTTGTAATTTATTTACTTGGCTTTTTTTCGAAACATAAAATTTTACATATGAATGGTCTTCAATATTTCCTCTGTATCTTTTTTTTTATGTGGTTAAAATTATACTGCCTACTGGCAACTAAATATCTAATACATATATGTTGGTACACACTTCCACTTGTACATAACTAAATACAACAATATCCATAAATGTAGTAGTAAGTCTGTATGTATGGTGTCATTTTGTTTTGCACAGAAGAACATTTTGTTGCAACAATTTATGGCATGCCACATAAATCGACTTAATGAGCTTTCGAAAATATAGCAACTTTTTCATATTTTCATATCCTCAGCCTCTCTAAAATTACAACAATGATATATGAATGTATTTCAAAGGGATTTTTTTTTTCACAAAACTACTCAGTAACTTATACGTATCGTAACTGCCTCAACCCTTTCCGCTGTATTTCATACATATGACTTTTGTACATATAATTTTGGGTAACCAAGATGCTTTTATGGTAAACGAAATTGTTGCGAAAATTTAATATTAACGCTATTTTTTAACAAAACCAATGATAATAACAGTTATTTATAGTATTTTGGTCTAAAATACATTTCTGTTACATACACCGAAATTATGACTATAAAAATACCATTTTTATATTTGTATTAGTGTGTATTAATATTTATGCAAAACGGGACTATTATCAAAATACTTGAGAAAATAAATTGTTGTAATTTTGGTGAAACTATAAAACAAACTCTACTCATAAATAAGTGAAATTGTTTAAGGCAAAAGAAATGTATTTATTTTAAGTATTGTGTTCATTTTTCGATTCTTCTATGTCTACTCTGTACTCTCCAGATGTGCTTCCTGTAGGCAGAATTTCCCAATCTTCTACTGAAGAAGACTGCGTTGATACGCTTCTTGCTGAACCCAACGGAGAAGTGGCCTTAGATAAGCAGAAATGTTCAGAAGCATTAGAATAGTGTGATATTTTTTCAATATTTGCTGATAAATTAGCTTGACTCAAAAAAAGCGTTTCTGGTGCCGAAAATTCGATTCCTGTTGATTGAACTTCTGGTGATAAAATAAAACTTTCTGGTAGAACTCGAGATATTTGGGAATTTTGTCTTAATGAAACTGTTTTTGTAGATGTTAAAGAAATGTTTTCCTGGTTATCAACATTTGATGCTAATTTTTCTATAGTTTGCTTTAGATCATTGGTTTCAGACAACTTTGGGTTTAATAGTCCATCTTTGTTTTCTAAATCTTTAAGAAACTCCCGCTCTAAAGTATTTTGATCCTCTATTGGCAGTTTTAATGCTACTGCCGAAGTTTGTTGCATAGATACTTTAGGAGTCAAGAGTTTTTGATTATCTGCTAAATCGATTATATTTTTTTCCGGAATTTCTTCAAATGATGTATAGGATGGTTTAGTATAAGCAGTGGAAGTTGTAGGCGTTAAAAGATTTTCATCATTCTCCAGATTAGTTAATATTTTTTCTTCTCCTTCCTTTTTCTCAAATGATGTTGACTTATTAGCATTTGTTTCCGTATTACTTAAACAGTCTTTAACAAATTGAAAATTGGAACCAAAGTGACGCTGCAAATAATCATTCATCCTTTGCGTACGTTGTTTTTGACGTTCCAAACGAAGTTTTTCAAATAGATCAGAATCGGAATCTGAAATAGTTGTATGTTTGTAATTAAATTCTATAACATTTACAAACTTACTGCTTACCACTTTCACCTGATGTTGGTGTTTCATTTTCAACATCTTCTTCCTCAATATTCATCAGTTCTTCTTCATCCTCTTGAGCTTCAGAAAATTCTTCAGCTTCTTCTGTTACTGGTTCCAATACAGATCGTTTCCAAATTTTTTCATTCTCTAGTTGGGACTCGTATTCATCAATATTAGAGCGTGTATAAGACGTAATGTGTTCGATATTTTCAATATCTGAAACAGATTGATAACTGTTTTCCACATCTACTCTTGTACTTGTTGCATCCTCTTCCGAATAGGTGAAAAAACGTTGAAATGCTTCATTAAATCGTTGACTGCGTTGATTAAAAGTACTTTGTGTTGAAGTTCGAGGTTTTCCATTCAATACAACAGAGTTCTAGACTTGGGCTTGTTAAATTCGAACATATTTTATATATCATGGAGTTTAATACTTACCGCGAGAGATTCCACTTTAGATACTACTCGCTTAGGCGCATCTTCTAAATCATATTTGGCGGTGGACGGTTCTGGTGGTTGCTCTCGTTTCGCTTCACTTTCATAGGGCAATTCATTTGGATAAACCTCATCCCAGTATTGATCTTTTACTAACTCGGGATGTTCGTGATGCATTTCATCGACTATAAGATACGAGACTTGTAAATTGCGATCAATCATCCAATTTACCTAGAATATATAGACATTTAATAAGTAAATGTTCGTTTTTTCACAAATTTATTACCTCAAAATCATCATCATCTTCTCCAAAAGGATTTATCAAAGTTTCCGCTACCTTTAACCAGCCCATATAGAAGAAAAACTGTAATGTTATAAATATAGGAGAATAAAAATCCAATGATTCGTAAGTATTATTTTTGTTGCCGGTCCACTGATGAGCCAACAAGGTGCCCACAAAAAACGAATAAACTGCAATTGTTACAACTTGCGTATAAACCAAAGGAATGCTTATAAAATCATAGTACATCAAGGTGCCACAAAGACCACGAAAACTATTCAACTCATCAATTATTGTTTTGACAGCGAAGTCATCGCGAATACGGCCCTCTTTTCGCGCTCGTGTTATGATACTAGCCGCCCAAACTATGGGCATCCAATGTTTTGGATATTTAGGAAACGAATTATCCATTGACTCTATAATCTGTTTTTCATTTTCCAGCAAAAGTCCTGCGTCAACAAGATGTTTCATTTTTGGAAAACGCTTCTTTACACAAGGTGATATCATAGTAAAAACAATAGTCAGACACAAACACACATAACGCATGACAGTGCGGCGCATTACACGACTACCCTCATCTTGGCCGTGTACATGAGCACTAACAAATACAGCTATGGAGTCAGGCCATGGTATAGTAATGTACTGTTCCCACCAGCGAGTCATTACCAAATTGACATAGAAACCCAATACAAACGACAATGGAATGAGGCTCGTATAACTGGCACAATAGTAGACAATACTCTCAAAAGTTCTGGTTTCAAATAAATCCCTTTTTTGTGTATGATCTTTTACAATTTAATTATGAGCATAATTACCTTTTAGCTTCCTCATCTAATAAATAAATATAAATCCAGTTGATGCAATAATACAGAGTTAAAAACAGCACCAAATCCAACCAAATTAATTTATAAATACTGCCTCTCCATCTGTTGCAAAACGTATTTTGTATATTGAGACAGATGTCTTACATTCTTGGTCCACTTACCTGCCTAGAAGTTTTATAAAACAACCAAATTTTTTGCAAGTAGCAACTTCAGCTGTATAAGTAACGGTCATTTTTCTAAATTTATTTCAAAATTATAATTATATGTTTTATATAAGAAAATTATAATAACAAAATATTGACACAAATTTCAAAAAAACGATTGTTGAGAATTCATGAAATGTAGTACATAAATATGTCTACTTGATTAAACACTCTTCTTGGATTCGCTGCTATTAGCAATAGATGATTTTGAGGATGAACTCTTTTTTGATTTTTTACCTTGTGAAACTCTAGAAATTCTTGAAGTTGTACTTTTAAGATCATCGGCTTTTTCACTCTGGTCTTTCAAGTTAAATTGGGTCTTTTGTCGCTGCAGTCTTTCTTGTTGTCGCTGTTTCTTTAATTTTTCAAAATCATCTACTTCATCGTCATCTTCACTTGCTTTGAGGTAATAGCCTTCCTTGAAATCAGACATGACGCTAACTATAGGAATCAAATTTAAGGCTTCAGTTTTGTTGAGATTTTGACCACTTAATGTGCTTGGAATTTTTTGTGAAATTTCGGAAGATTGACTTAAACGCGAGTCTGATTTATGTAAATTTTCTGTCACATCCAGGCGATATGTTTCCTCACGATTACAATGTTTGCTAAAGAATCTAGTAACTGATTGCTTTTGAAAAGATTAACATTATTCGAAATTTGTTTGATGTGATATGATTTTACCAAAATTTGTACTCTTGAAGTAGTATTTTTCTTGTCCAGTTCGGCAGTAGAATGTAGTGGCGGATCTTCCGGTATTTTTATTATTCCATCTGTTTTATATGGCATTTTTGCGGGAAATACTTCATCCCAATATTGATCCTTTATTAACTCGGGATGTTCATTATGCATTTCGTCCACAATTAGGTATGAAACTTGTAAATTTCGATCAATTAACCAATTTACCTTTAAAGGGCAACGTAAAATGTTTGTACGATAAAATCAATGAAATTCGATTCAAAAAGATTGACTGCAAATTACCCAATTTAAATAAATAATTAAAAGAGCTAACCTCAAAATCATCGTCGTCATCACCAAAAGGGCATATCAACGATTCTGCAACTTTAAGCCAACCCATAAAAAACAAATATTCCAAAACCGTAAAGAAAGGAAAAAAATAGTCCACGATATTCATCATACCCTTATCATCGGTCTCTCCAGTCCATTGATGACCAAACACCGAAGTCAACAAATACGAATAAACTGCTATAGTTACAACCTGAGTGTAAACCAGTGGTATGCTAATTGTATCATAAAATAACAAAACCATACACATGCCCCGAAACGAGTTCAAAGAATCGATGAGTGTCTTTAAGGAAGAATCATCGCGTATACGTCCTTCTTTCCGGGCTCGTGTAACAATACTTGAGGCCCATACTATAGGCATCCAATGTTTTGGATGTTTGGCAAATTTCTCATTCATATTTTTCAATATAACTTTTTCATTTTCAACCAATAAACCAACATCTACTAAGTGGTCCAGGGTAGGAAAACGCTTTTTAACACGTGGTGATATCATTGTCAAAACCATAGTCAGACTTAGGCAAACATAACGCATAATAGTACGGCGCATTTTACGACCATTTTCATCTTGACCTCTTATCAAAGATGAGACATATACAGCCGTACTGTCTGGCCAGGGTAAAGTCATATACTGTTCCCACCAGCGCTTAATAACAATCGAGACATAGAAGCCCAATACAAACATCAAAGGTATTAAAGCAGAGCTTGTATTGCAATATTTCACAAAGACTTCAAACGTTCTAAAGCCACCAGGAATAAACTGAAATGAGTTTCTAATTTTAGTTAAGAAAAACTTACTTCTTTTGGTCTGCATTCAATAGAAAACGATAAGTTCCATTTATAGCATAATAAATGCCTATATAAGTCAGAACATCCACCCAAATAAGTTTGTAAATGCTGGCTCGCCATCTTTAAAAGAAAGTAATTATAAAAATAAAAATTGAAAGCAATTTTCGGCATTAGAAACCTTATTTCGTTACCTTAATAAAAGTTTTGGAAAACAACCGAACCAAGTACTATGTGCCACTTCTGCCGTATAAGAAACTGTCATTCTTTAAGGATTTTCGGTGAATTTAAATAAAAAGTTTATTCAACTTGCTACAATATTATTGCTCAAGTTTTAATATTTTGCTTTCAAAATATAAAAAAAAACAAAAATTTCAATGCTAATTAAAGTTGCTCGTATGCCTGGTTGCAAATAAAAAATTACCTTTTACATTTGTTATTGTTGTTGTTAGTAATTATTTAAATTACATCATTTGTATTTATACTCGGCTTCCGTATATTAAAAAACCACCAGACATTCATGCTGGAACACATATCCCAGCTCAAACAAAAGGCAGACTGTTTGGTTAGATGGCAAAACACAGGTGTAACATTATGCGGTTTTTACTTCTTTAAAGTTCCTTTAGCTTTTCTTGCTTTTAAACCCTTCCGTAGTCCTAGTAATAGAAAAAATAGGTGGACAGTTTAAAAAGTTTTTAAAAGAAAATTTTCTATTTTAAATATTAAAGATAAGCCGATTTATTTGCAGTTACTTTTCAATTAATCCACCTGCCTGGAAAATTAAATGTGTTTAATATCAAGTAAATATGGTTACATACAGTATTTTTGTAATATGCCGTGTTTTATTTTATATTTTTTCGTAAAAGCCACAACAAAAATTAATTTGGTTTTTCTTTTCACATAAATGCATGCATGTCTGTCTGTCTGAATGCCTGCCTGTATGTTTGTGTCTGTTGAAACTCGTACGTGTGCTTTATATTTATACCACCTGTATGTATGCCTGTGTATGTGCGTATAGTGGCAGGAAAACGAATACAATTTACTACTTCTACTACAAACCACGTGATTCTGCCACAAGCATGCAAGTGTTGAGACGAACATGTGGTAAGAAATACAAAAATAAAAGACAATACAATAAACATACTATTTTATAAATAATATTAAAAAAATAGGATTTGTTTTTTCCGGTAGTTGTTGTATCCAAATATATGTATGCATACCCTCATATATCTTTTCGGCGAGCTCATACAAATATACTTACATACATTTATTTAAATTATTATAATTATTGTTTTAAAAGTATGTACATGAAAAACATTAAATAACTGCAGAAAAGTTATTGTAAGAAAAAGTTAAGTAATTAAAATAAATTCCCTTTAATTATGTATGTAAATAGTTGTTAGTTAAGGGTAAAAGTAGACCGAAAAAAACAGTTTATATTATTTATATCGACCTTTGCCGAATCTTATATACCCTTCACCACCTAAAAGCAGGTGTTATTAGTGACGCATCTCTTAGACAGTCTAGATCATGGAAAAGAGCTCTACCAATATATAGTAGAGTAGTCTGTGCTCTTGTAAGGCTGAAGATTGTCGATCCCTTGCCTCTTTCTGTCTTTGAGTCATCAGTATAGATTGAGATAACGTCGTCCCTTAGGGCAGTGTTCGCGGCACAATCATCCCTTGTCGGTATTATGGTCTTGGATGACCTATAAAAATTCAGTGTAGATAGAAGTTAGTCTGTTTCCTGCACCATGATTGGCCTGCCTATCATTTGTAGGTGCCATGACCAGTGCGGCTGACTGTTTAAGTCATAGAGCAGATTTAGCAGAAATGCATTTAATGTATATATCAAGGGGAGTTATGTTTAGCATCGTCTCTAGGCTAGCCTGAGGGGTGGAGCTCAAACAGCCAGTGATTGCAAGACATGTTAATCTTTGTACCTTGTTTAGAATAGAGAGGTAAGTCTTGGTATCCACCGCTCTCCACCAAACAAGAGCTCAAAATAGGTCTCATAACCGCGGTGTACATCCAGTGCACAATGTATGGTTTAAGACCCCATCTTTTTCAAAGGGTTTCTTGCATAACGTCTCTCAGCATAACGTTTACACGTGACTTTAGAGTTCAGTTTTGGCCGGGTTGACACCCAGACCGATTTCCTTGGCCCATGATAGTAGAACGCTGAGGGCTGATACAACAACAACTAACTCCAAAGAAACAAAACCCAAAAAAACACAAAATACATACAACCACACATACGCTTTTTCAATAAACGTATAATGTTGTTGCTTTTTTTTCAAAGCTGTTATGAATTATCGAAAATGTGGATCCTGAAGATATCTGGGATCTTTAGAAAATTAATTTAAACAGACACAGACAAAGAGATAGACAGACAGACTGACAGACGGACGGACAGACATTCCATAATCGACTGCGATATCTATAAGGATCCGTAATATATACTCTATAGGGTCGCAAAATTATATTGTGGAAATTACAAACGGAATGGCAAACTTAAATATACCCTTCTCATGAAGGTGAAATGTTTAAAAATTTTCACAGTTCAAATTCTTGTAAATAATTTAACTTTTAACGAAACAATTTATTTTCGATAAAACAATAAAATACCAGAGGCATACAAACAATAAAAATAATGTTTAGTTTATATTGGGTTTTTACCATTAACGAAATCCTGTATATTCACTGTTGCCGTTGCAGTAAAAACTTTATGTAATTCATTTACTCTTTCGAAAACAGAGTTTTTAATAACATTCCCGTTTAACTGTAGTTTCAAACTATCGTTAACATTTCTTTTTAAAATTTATTGAAAAAAAAAAAACTGGGAGCAATCTACACACACTCATAAAGAGATTTTTTTATTGTACTATGAACTATTAAAAGCCTACTCTAATGTCTTGTGGTTTTACCATACATAATGTAGATTTATTTGCATTTCCTTTTCAGGATTTATTTAGCCATTTAGATGTATGAATGTTTGGGTGTGTGTGTATCTGTTTGACTAACTTAGTATTTGTTGTAGTACATAAATTACTCATGCCCAAAGTTAATTGACAAAAACCGCAATTGATAAGTAGGAGTGAGTAATTGAGATTTTGTATTATTTAACAGAATACCTAATTTTTGGGGTTGTAAAGGTGTAGTCTAGGCGTATTGAATGTAAATCCTTTTAAACCTTTAAAGAAAATGTAAAATAATGAAGAAGAAAAAGGAAAAGCAAGTCGTTGCTAAATTAATTATGCTGCCTGCCATCATTAATTTTCATTTGTTTAAAGAAATTAAACAGTAGTGGTCTATTGGGTTTATTTTTTTCACTACTTGTTTTCAACTTATTAGAGGGTGCCAAGTAATGAAAACCTATAGGAGTTTTACTTAATTTTTCTCATTTATATTTTGTCCCTTCTATTGTTTTGCAAGTTAGAGAAAATGTCACATTTAGTAGCCATTTGTAAATTGTTCATTAGTTGGTCTTAAGTGACATTTAGAAAAGTTTTATTACATTTTCCTTTATATTTTTCGTAGCTGCTTCTGTTTTTTTTTTGCGTTTCTTTAGAATCGCATTGAGGAATTAACTTAACGGTTTCTTATGCAAATTAATATTGACACAATTGTTGAACATGAAAAACAATAAGTTGCTTCTTTTAAAATATTCTACAAAAATCTTCTCGAACTAAAAACAGAAAATAAAACATCTAAGAATAGAATTGAAGCAAACAAAATGTGTCAATATTCATTAAGGACTCGTTTTTTATTTTGCAAAATAATTTTTTTCCAATAATGAATTGAATAATTGAAATATATTAAGAAAATAGAAATTAATTTCAATTTACATTTCAGCTAGAGTCACAAAACAATATGATAATTTTATTATTTACATAGAAATTGATAAATTTACTTTATATAAGTTTTAGGATTGAAATAAAACAAAGGCAAATAAAATTTAACAAAACAAATCACATACCATGCCATAACACGAGTAGGCTAAAGAGGGAAAACTGTTTTTACAGTTGTTCAAGTTGTTGAAATTACCTCCCTTTATAAGGCTCTCAGATATTTATGAATCATAAATGTATTCCCTTTGCTAATAAATATGACACTTAATAACCTTCTACTCTAATTTACATACACCATGCATAAACTAATGGAATTTCATATTAAATAATATAACAACAACAGCAAATCACACATACATACATGCTCTCAATTCAATTGTTTACTCGTGTAAAATGTAAAGAATGCCAGTATAAAAGTAAACAAACTCATTCACATAATCAGACTGGGATATGAAAACTATATAAAAATAAAACATTAGAACCCTTTTATTTGCATTTGTAATTAATGCGTGTAAGACAAGACCATAAAAACACTAAACATTTATAACACTAACAGCAACTCTAATACACCAACCACTACATACATACTACCAAAAACAACAAATATTTATACTTTTTATACTAATAACAATATGAATGTAAAACATTAATACATGTTTATTACACATATACACACACTTGCCACACACATATTTATAATTTCAACAAAATACCCAAAGGACCACGTAATATGTGCCAAGTACACTTCTACACTCACTATTTTAGCATCTACTCCAGTCGTCAGGAGTAAGTATTTCATGCATAAATTCATTTTAAATATGTTGCTTTATTTACAGTATCATAAAATCTAGTTTTAATAATAAACCAACAACCAAAAATCCACAAACAAATAACAGCAAAAACAAGAATATATTTTTTAAGTAATCAAAATAATATTCATAAAATTTAGAATAATAAATAAACTGCCTAAAGGTTAAATCCATCCCAACTCTCTCATACAATTTTTAAATGTTTACTTATGCAAATTAACAACTAAATATAAAACAACTATGGTAGATCTATATATGTACACATATATACGATTTGCAAAAACTTTACATTTTAGGTTTGTCTTAAGAGTTTATTGGGAATTTAAATATTTTAAAATGCCAGTAAAGTGGAAATTTTTTTCAATTCTCTAGAACTTTTACAGTCAAATATTAACAGCTTGTCAATGCATATGAAAGAACGTATGTATATATGTATGTAAATTTATTACTGTTGAAAACTGACACAATGAAAAGTTAGTTTTCTAGGATTTAAATGCTTAAAAGGTTCTTTATTAATATAATTTTTTTTCTCTTATTCATAAATGTCTTTTTATGAAAACGATAAAGTTCCACGAGAAGAAAAGTACTATACAAAATCCCTTGTAGTGATTTGGGCATAAGAGATTCATAAATTATATAAAGTATTATTAATTGATAAAAATTTTGATATAAATTAAAAGGGGATT